TCACGTTTCCCTCAAGCTGAGAAACCAGATGGAATGCATTTGGGAAAAATGCATTTGGAAGACAGTTGTCAAGTGCTTACTGTTTGCCGAGTCCCTTTGTCAGACCCCAAGAATACAGAAGTCAGAGGTCTGCCAAGTGGATATGACCTCGGGTCTTGACTAAACAAGGGCCCACTTAACAGGAGGGCACCAAAAAGAGGGTCACAATGGGGCTTAGGTTCAAGAAGGCTCCACTGAGGAGGCCCACCAGGGTTCACCGGGCAGACGAGGGTAAGGAAGACAGCAGGTGCAAAGGTTTCGGATCGCAAAGCATGGACGCGTTAGGGAGGGTGCAAAGCTGGCCAACTGCAACAGTAAACATTGTGGTTAAGAACCCTGACTTTGGGATCAGACTGATTTGGGTTCAAATTCTGATTTCACCACTTACTGACTAGGAGTTTCTTCAACCCTCTGAGCCTACATTTCCTCATCTGCAAAATGGGCATAATTATCATAGTACCCACTTCCTCACAGATTCAATGAATACACACCAGGTACCTACTATGTACCATGCACTGTCCTAGGTGTTGGGGACACAGCTGTGAGTGTAACAAAGGCTCTGGCCTGGTGGAGCTTATATTCTGGTGATGTAATGGATGTACAGCATTGAGCACAGGCATTGGCTACGGTCCTAAGTGCAGATCAGGGGGCACAGTGGGAGATGAGGCTGGATTCCCAGTGAGGAACCTCGAATGCCCCCCTATGGGAAGACCCAGGGGAGCAGGCCCAGCTGCGTGGAGGCCTGGCTTGCTCACTCTCTAGACCTCTGCCCTGCACCCCCCTCAGGTACCAGCGGAAGTGGGATGAACTAGCCGTGCAGGAGAAGCTGTTCCGCCAGGAGTTTGAGCAGCTGGCCAACAACAAGAAGGAGATCGTGGCCTTCCTCAAGCGCACACTCAACCAGAAGGTAGATGAGATCACTGAACTCAACGAGCAGCTGCAAAGCCTGCAGCTGGCCAAGGAGGTAGAAAAGGACGCCTTTGAGGCACAGCTAGCCCAGGTGCGCCATGAGTTCCAGGAGACCAAGGACCAGCTCACCACGGAGAACATCATCCTTGGTGAGGAGGGGACTGGCAGGCGAGTCTGGGGCACACACCACGGGGGCAGGGAACCCAACGCTCTTGCTCTTCGGGCTCTAATCCCAGCTCTACCATTTACTCTGTGGCCTTAGGCAAGCACTTCTCCTAGACCTTCAGGTTTCTCAGCTGGGAAATGGGGATGATACGTCTACCTTGAGTAACAGCAGCTATGTGCTGCTTCCCACACATTACCTTCCGTAATTGTCCCAGCCATCGTCCGAGGCAGGAAATACTATCAATCCCCGCCCCATCTGTAGGTGAGGAAGCACTTCAAGGAGTTGAAGTGTCTTGCCCAAGGTCACCCAGCTGGCATTTTTTTTTTTTTTTGGTTTTTGGTTATTGGTTTTTTTTGAGGCTTAAGGACAGCAGTAGTGCCTGGCCCAGAGAAGTTGTTCAAGTTCAATGGCTGTTGTCACTGTCACTTTCCAGAAAATAGAGGTCAAGGGAGGCGTTTCCAAAGAGGCGAAATGTGAATGAGGCTTCATAAGATTAGTGGTGGGGAAGAGACGGTGTTTCAGATGAAGACAACGAATAAGGGCAGGACGGAGCATAGCATCTCGTAGGGACAGGGGTCTGGCCTTACTGGATTGAGAAGCACAGGGAGGGCAGGAGGACTTGGAGGAAGGGGGGAGGGAGGGGCATCGCGCAAGGCCATCGCTGCCCTCCCAAGGCGGCCCCTCACCGGGCCCGTGCCCTGCGGTGGGGCAGGGGGGAAGCTGGCGGCTTTGGAAGAGTTCCGGCTGCAGAAAGAGGAGCTCACAGAGAAGTTCACGACACTGGAAGACCAGCTACGGAAGCAGGAGAGTGACTACAAGGACTACGTGTACAACCTCGAGAAGAAGTCTGTGCTGGACAAGGACAGGTGGGCAGGTTGGGTGCTGAGGCCACGCCAAGCTCAGGCCTCCGAGCCTCAGCTTCAAACTGGGGGGACTGCACTAGCTCAGGGACTCCCCATCCTGCTGCTCCTCAGAATCCTGGCTGGTGATGTTAGAAGGGGTGGAAAAAATAGATAAGCTCCCAGCTCTAGCCCTCACATGGGACTGGAAATCCTTGGACTTCCTCTTGCCACTTTTCATGACTTAAGTTACATTTGTTTAATAGGGAATAATACATTGATATGGATCAAAATGCCAAAGGGTCTACAGGGGCTCTACCTGGAACCCTGCCCCTTTTGGGAGATAGAGCATAGAGGCGGCCCTAAGCGCTCTGGGGAACCCCACACAGGAGGGCAATGCCTGTGCCCACTCTGCCTGATACCCCCTCGTTCCCACCCATGACTAGACTGAGGAAGGAGATCATCCAGCGCGTGAACCTGGTGGCCACTGAGTACCGAAAGGTGGCCACTAGCCAGATGTGGGACACGACAAAGCGGGCCATCGTGGAGAACAACACGGTCACCCTGCAGCTGTCCAAGATATCCCGGCAAGGCGCACAGCTGCTACAGGAGAACGAGCAGCTAAAGGGCACCCGAGACGAGCTGTGCAAACAGCTGGATCTATTGGAGAATGCCCAGAAGGTCATGGCCAGGCATAGCAGAGGCCACCGTAAGGTGTGCCTGCCAGGACCTTGTCACAGGGCATTTGGTGCATAAAGCAGGCGGGAACCCTAGGGGTGCTGCTTCAGGGCAAACACAGCCCGGCAGGGTTGGGTCCCGGGCTGGAGCCAACTCATGAGGGAGGCAGCAGCAACGGGACAGGGTCCCTTGTGGGGGGTCCTGGGTGCTGGGCGCACCTCTGGTTTTCATTTATTTGGTCGAAAGCCCCCATAACTTATTGAAGCGGGACCTGCCCCGGGCCACTGGGGGCTCTGCCCAGAGATGGTGCTGGGCCCCCAGTGCCTTGGCTGGCCTCTCTGTACAAGGGGGTGAGCTCTGGGGGAGTCTGGAGCTGGGGGAGGGGGGGCAGGCTGAGGGCCCACAGAGGGGCCAGGGTATGGCCACCTGCCCGCACCCGCAGATCATCCTCATGCTGACCGAGAAGTGCCGCGAGCAGCAGCAGGGCACAGTGGAGGCCGAGCAGCTGCGCCTCCAGCTGAGCCAACTGGAGCAGGGCCTCCGGCAGCTGCAGCAGGACACACAGATGCTGAGGTGCGCCCTGCGGAGGGGCGCGCAGCGGGAGCGAGGGGGGCCGAGCTTGAGGCCATCCCCTTTGGGCCACCTGACTCCGGCCGGTGACTTCCCCTTTCCCAAGGGGCATCGAGGCCTGGGGCTGGATGAGGGCTCCTGGGGGCTAGAGAGAAACCGCCGAGTGCAGGGAGTGCAGGGAGGTGGCTGACTCGTCCTGGTCCTGGGCCCAGGAGTCAGAGAGACCAGCTGAACCTGCAGCTGGAGAGGCAGCAGGCTGAGGCACAACAGCTACAGCGGGAGCTGACTGAAGAGCAGAAGGTTCGGGCAAATCTGGAGGCAGCCCTGGCCCAGGCCACCTTCATCCTACAGGACGTTCTACAGGTGACAGAAAGTGGGTGAAAGGGGCGGGGGGAGTGAGCCAACATCAGACACTGCTTGGAGATAACCAGGACACCCGGAGAAGGCTGGGCCAGGGCCAGAGCCCCCCCAACACCCACCCCGCTGCCTTTCCCCCCGAGAGACTCCTGGCAAGTCCTTTCCCGATTTCTGTACTTCAGAGATCCCTTGAAGGTCTCCAAGTTGCTGGAGTCCCTCTCTGAGGCCCTGGAAGGGCTTGTGCCTCAGGCTTCTCATTTGAAGAATGGGTATCCCACCACAGCCAGGGTAAACTTGGAGAAAAGGGGCTCTGGGGTGTTTCCCAGAGGTGGGTGTCGGGGTCACTATGAGCCTGATCTCCGCGGGCCCATCCCCACCCTCGACCGGCAGATGCAACCTGATGAGGAGGACAGCGACTCTGATGTCGTGTTCCAGCTGCAGCTCAAGGAGATGCTGCACCAAGTGCTGGCCGTGCTCAGCTCAGCCGTGGTCCTCAGCCCCCGGCTGGCTGTGTATCTCAATCAGGAGAGCCAGGCCCACAGCCCACCCAAGGGCAGGTGAGTGAGTGACCCTGTATGACCTCAGAAGCAGCTGTGGAATTTGTTTGTCCAAGGGCTGTTCTCAGCTGACCCTGGGCCACAACCCTGGCTTCCCAAAGCCTCTCTGAACCTCAGCGTCCTCAACTAGGAAACACAGGTGGTGATGCCAGTCCTCTCTCCACAGCCAACCTGGCACCCAGCCACCCAAGATGGGGTCTCTGCGTCAGCCGCCATCCAGCATCACACCCTACCAGCCAGGGGACCTGGGCCTGGTGCCTCGACGGGCCCACATCCCACCTAACCCCGAGGACCTGAGGCTGCTCTCACACACCACCCGTGTGGGAACCTTCCGGGTGCACAGCAGCCCTGAGGTAAGCGTGCCAGGGCCCCAGGCACGGCAAGATGGCAGCCAGCCCTGGGTACAGATCATGTAGCTCTGCCACACTGCAGCCGCATGGAGCCCTCTAAGCCTCCATCTCCCCATCTGTAAAATGGGCCAAAGAAAAGGGTGGCAAGGCCTCACTGTGGGCTAAGGCACGCCCACGCATCACCTAGGAGGGGGGCTTGCTAGACCCTGTCGGCCCCTCCTCCGCTGGCAGGGGAAGCGTGGGAATCCCCTGAGGAGGCCTCAGCTTCCATGCCGCATCTTTAATTTTACAGATTCACACCTCTGGTTCTCCGAAAAGGTTCAAAAAGTTTAGTCTTCCTGAAGTTTCTCTACTTTCCAAGTAAAACACAGAGAGAAGACCAATCCCCATCCCAGAAGTGGACCATTGTGGCCATAGTCCCCTCTCTTTAATCTATAGGTGGCCTGGGGCAGCCCAGAGAAGAGGTCTATAAAAAGTGGATACCACAGGTTGGCACGGCACCTCTGTGAACCTGGCTGATGTGTGGGCATGGTGGTTAGGGAGGCAGGAATTCACTGAGGTCAGGGCCTAACGAGGGCCGCTGGCTTCGTTCCCGGATGTGGTCCAGGAGCATGTCGGTGGCTCGCTCCAGCAACAGAGGCAGCAGTTCCTGCTCAGCGGCGGAGAAAGAGCCCAGCACATGGGCCTGCACTGTATCAGGGTGGGCGGGGCGCCCGATGCCTATCCGCAGCCTCGGCATTGCCTGTGGGGGAGCCAGAGGGGGACCCAGGGAGTTTTGATGCCCGGTGCGGGAGGCCCCCATGTTGGCCCACCACACCCAGGGCAGGGCAAAGGGGCAGACTCACATGGGAGTTGAGACAGCTAATGCAGGAACGGACTCCGTTGTGGCCCCTTCAAGGGATATGGGAGGGACAATTAGTGCTTCCCTGGGTCAGCACCCTTCACCCCTCCCAGCCCAGGCTGGGGTCAGAGCACCCCTCTTCCCTGCCGAGACTGGGATCGGCACTCCTACCCCCACTCCAACTGGGAGGCTGTCCTCCCTAGCCCACCTTGACCTGCTCAGGGCCTCACCTGGCGCTTCCCCCCAGCTTCAGAGCCACTTTCCCCAGGGGCTTGTCCAGCTCATCATGCACCAGGTAGACCTCCTCAGCAGTCAGCCCAAACAGCTCCGCTTGGCACAGGGAAATGGTGGCCCCGGTTACTGCCCATCTGCCCAGAGGGCGTTGTCCCGACTCACGGCTCTCGTGAGGAGGGGCCGCAATTGACCCCATTTCACATATAAAGAAACTGAGATTCCCTTAAGTACCCGAGGCCAGAGGCAGCAATTGCAGCTCAACAGGCACCTGGAGGTGAAGAGATCTACCGCCGCCCCAGAACCCCTTCTCTGGCCCCTACGCCCTCCCGGCCGGCCCATCTCTGGTGCCCTTGACTCACCGGCCCGGGCCACGCTGCGCCCGCTGGCGTTCATGAGCCGCCGGGGCCGAAGGAGGACCAGCTGGGCATCCTCGAGCGAGGCCACGGCGAGGTCGGCCGCGCAGCGCCGGTCGCGCGCCCAGGTGTCCGCCACACCCAGACGCCGCGCCAGGTGCCCCAGCACCGCCAAGCCCACGCTGTGCCGCGTGCCGGGCAGTCCAGGGTTCCCCAGACCGGCCACCTGCGGGCGGCACCGGGGAAACTGAGGTGCGACATCTCTCGCGACCCTCTGGCTTACAGCGCCCCCTGGGACCCAAACCCGAGAAAGGGAAACGGAAGGCAGGGTAGAGTGAGGAAGGGGGGCCAGAAACCCCGGAGACGCCAGAAGGCTGAGTGCCCCGGGAGCTGAGTGGGCAGAGCGCCTGGAGCAGGAGCAGAGTTCCTGGAAGCTTAAGCCCGTCAGAATACTGGCCCCATTTTCTAGATAAGATAACCGAGACAAGGAATTTGGGGGATGGTGTCTGCAGACAACGGCAGAACAGGAGCTAGCTAGGGCCCAGGAGCCCCTACGCCGCCGCGCCCCCGCCCCCGACGCCACTCACCAGCCACCGCTTCCCCGCGGGCCGGGGTTCCAGTGTGAGCACGCTCATGGCGCGACTCAACCACAGCGTAGTTCGCCGGCAGCCGTCTGGCCGCATGTCGCCCCCTTTCACGGTGTAGGCCCCGCGCCCTGACGTCAGTCAGGACTCGACCAATCGCAGTGGCCATCCGTCCCCAGCGTCCAATCCCCGGGCGGGCCACGGGCCGCCATGCTCCTAAGGAGCGGAAGTAGCGGGGCGGCGGCTGAGACCGAGCCTCCACTCATTCCGCGGCGCCGCGTCACAGTGTTCCTGTGGGGTTTCTTGTGGACTTGCGGAACCCTTGCGTGACCTCCGGATTGGGAGGAGGGAGGCTTGCTCTGGCCCCTGCTGTGGCCCTGCCTGGCTGCGGAAACCTGACAAGTCCTCTCCCTGACGTACCTCAGCCTCCCCCGCCCATAAGTTTGCTAACCTCTACCCGGCTCTAACAACCCAGGGACCCCGGAGGCGTGGCCAGAGGGGCGGAGCCTGTGGGCGTCCTGGAGATGGTGCCTAGCAACGTCAGGGGTGGGTCTCGGGAGGTCCTCCCGGAAGGGAATTCAAAACAAACTCCAGAGAGGTGCGTGAGAGGGTCGGGAGGGAAGAGACCAAGGCTGAGTTCTCAGGAAGGGTTTTAAGCACAGGAGAGGAGAGGCAGGATCAATTGTGCAATTCATTAAAGTCCCTGGCCGCTGCATAGAGAACTGAGGGCTTGGGACCTGTGTCCGGTGGGGAGTTCGGAGAGGTGGTCGGAGCTGGTGACCGGACAGAGATGGCATCGACCCAGACGAGAGGATGAGAGAAGAGAAGGGATCTAAGAGATCTTAAGGAAGTGAGGCAGACAGGACCGGAGGTGGACTCCCCGAGGTGGGAAAGCCTGGGGCAGGAAGTGCTCAATTTGGCCTGCTGGGCATGAGAGTCCCACAGGATAACCAGAGGGGCTGCAGGACCTCCTGGGCCTGCAGCTTGGGGCGGGGCCTCAGCTGGACACATTAGAGTGTTGGGTGTCAGGAGATGGATCTGGAACTGAGGGGAACCAGGAGGAGAGCAGAGGGCAGTGTGTGTACGAGAACCCTGGCCCTTGACTTTGACCATAGGAGAGGGAGAGAAGCAGGACTGGAGAGAAATTGGAACATCCCTAAGGGGAAGGGGGCTAGGAGCGCCACCAGGACCCAAATTGTTCTGGAGGCCTCCTACCAGCCTCATTTCCAGCCCTCGTCCATCCTGTAAAACACCTGAGGAGAGTGTGTCAGTGGAGCAGAGGTCATCTCTGAGGCCTCCCCCCAACTTGCTGTCCCTTGGTTCTAGGATGCTCTGGAACTTGACCCGGCTCCCTCACAGCACGTCTCAAAGCCATGGGTGAATCCAGTCCCAAAGGGACCCTACAGCGCATCTTTGGGACCAGCCAGGTGTTCCAGAACATTGATGATGTAAAGCCAAAGGCCACGGGATTAACAGTGCCCCTCAAAGTCAGGGAGTAGTGAGTGACTACCTTGTCCCAGGGTCCCAGGTTCCTACTCTTCACAGTCAGTGACATGCCCTACAGCTTTGGGTTGGTTACTCTCCCTCTCTGGGCTTCGGTGAACTCAACTGTACAACAGGGCTCTCCCACATCAGCAGATGAAGATGGTGGCCTGGATGAGCTCCAAGAAGGCCAGCCTCCTCTCCCTGGGTGTCTGTCTACCTGCCCAACCCTGTCTCTCCACCCAAGCCTCCCTCCTCCCAACCCACCTGCAGCTGCAGCTGTATGCCCTGGGCTGGCCAAAGTCAGGGCCAGCCCCTCTGCTTCCTGCCCCCCCGTCCCCCCGCCCACAGCTATCACCAAGGCCAGCAGTGCTTGGAGAGAGAGGACTGGGAGATGGCCGTGCTGTACTTTTCCCGCGCCCTCCACCTGAACTCCCAGCTGGTGAGCGGTGGGCATGGGCGGTTGCTGACGCACACTTTGCC